GTTGTAGTCCCTACCAGCCGTTTTTGTAGGCATTAAACTGCCAGAATTTTAAAAGACGATATCTCCCTTTGCAACTTTTAGCGCCGCAACTTTGCAGATATTGTTTATGCTCAAACAGCAACATTACACACTTACTAACGTTAAAAAAGTGAAATCGCAATCAACCACCCCTTTAAGGAAGCAAAATTAAAATGCGCAAGAATTTAAATTTTAGGATGACATAGTTACATGTTACATGTACTTACTATAGTAATAACAGTAAATTATGCATAATTACAAGTAACACTAAACCAAACCCTAACCTTATAGTAAGTACGTGTAGTTGATGAATATTACTAAAATAAAATGTAACCTTAAAATGAATTGAAATTCAAAGAAACTCATACAACTGCTAAAAGTGTAATTAACTAAAATCGAAAAATAAATTTATCAAAAAAGAAATTGTATTTAATTTGAATTCTTTAAATTATTATTATTTTTTAATGCAATCATTTTTGTAACAACACTTCATTTGACATCATGCTATGATCTGTTGAAATTTTTTTATTGTAAATTCCACTTTAACTTCATTCCAATTCAACTTCCAACTGAAATTCCTGAGTGGTGTCATCAATTCAAATTCCAAATCATGAATCACATAGAAGCCAAATCTTAAATTCTGAATATTGTCCAACTCTGTGATCTCATTTTTCAGGCATGGATATAATTTTGTGGTAACTCTACCGGTCGGAGCTGCAAACGTGGATATAAGGCAGCGCGGTTACCGCAGTTTGATTAACGATGACAACTATTTAGCAGTAAAGAACGTCCACGGCAAATATCTCCTGAATGGAAACTTTGTGGTTTCAGCAGTAGAAAAAGACATTATCGTAAAGGGAAGTCTACTTCGCTACAGTGGAACCGGGACATCGGTGGAAATACTGCAGGCCTCTAGACCTCTCAAAGAGTCTCTTACGGTGGAACTATTGTCTGTAGGTAAAATGACACCTCCTCGTGTGCGCTACTCCTACTACCAAAATGTGGGAAAGAAGGAGGGCAAGATCTTAAGGAAGGACGAGAGGAACCCTACACAGAACAGTGTGCTGGAAGACAGCAATAAAGTGGAGCTGAAGAAGCCAGCCTATCAGATGCCGTCTTATAAGTGGGTGGCAGCGGACTGGAATAAGTGCTCGGTTACCTGTGGGAATGGGGTTCAAAGTAGACTGATACAGTGTTTGGACTCGGATGGGGAAACAGCCACACACTGTGACGGCACACAAAAGCCCAGTGCCATAAGGGTGTGTGGTGACCCTTGCCCAATGTGGAGTATAGGCGAATGGTCCTCATGCTCTAAAACCTGCGGGAAAGGCTTTACGAGACGCCCACTGCGATGCATCACTCAGACTGGACTGCTTTTACCTAGAGACCACTGCTCAAGCAAAAGAAAGCCACAAGAACTGGACTTTTGCACTGTTCGGCCCTGCTAATGAATGATTCGGTGTGTTCTGGGACCCATTTTATGGAGCCAAAGTGATCTTTTTACGTGTGCATCCTTTGTTGCCTCATTTATAATGGGAATATTGTCATGAAACAAAGACAAAGGATGTCTTTTACCATTACAATGTTACATGTTAAGGTACAGATATCGCCTACCTCGAAAAGGACAGGGTGTTTTAAAGCAACTAAATAACAGACCACGTAAAATTGTATAATGGTATGCTGTGGCATTAGAACTGTCACAAAATAAAACTAGCATCTCCTCTACATATGGTTTGTAGACAATATCAGAAAGTGTTTGAGTTTGTATTCAGACTTTAAATACATGTGAATAATTTGATCTAAATGTGAAGCATATTGTATGCAAAAATAGGGTGACTTGGTCCATGCACTATTGACCATTTGTATTCATATATTAGGCTGAGATAGTCAGTAGATTCAAACGTTCCTAATCATTGAAGTTTCAAGACAAAACAATGCCAAATTAAGCCTTTTAGTTTGGGTTTAGTGAAAGTAATCAGTACTTTACATTTTGGGCAGAAGAGGAGCTATTATGAACACATATTTTATTAATAAAATAATGTTAACGTTTAACATAATGGTACTGTACCCAAAGGGATAAAACAGTTAAATACTATAAATAAATCAGTTAAAATACTATATGGCAATAAACTTCATCAATTCAGCTATCTATATAAGTAAACCAGTTAGAAAGTCTTTGGGTATCTTGATTTTTTGTAAAACTGATCTCTGCTAAAAGACACTGATGTTGATACAGCCTTGATGCTGCAAATGTTGTGCAAAAGCAAGATCTTATACAATACGATTTCAATATCTAAAATCTCGACAGTATGCAGAGGAAAAAAGACAAAATATTAAACACATGCGGCTGCTACGGCCATTATGATTTTAGCTGTAAAATAACCGTTTCTTAGATGGAAAATCAGTAGTGTTTTATTGTACGTGTATTAGATGTATTCTCTGCTGGACTTATGAAGATACATTATAACTTGTGTAAACAACCCCTGTAAACCAAATGTTGTTGGTAAGAGCATCTCATTCATTCCAAAGGTGCTTCTTTGTTTCATTTTGTTTTCTCATCTTTTGATGTTAATACAGCAAAAGGCACTTATGTTTTTCTATTAGAATCCATTGTATACTATGTATACATCCATCAACTGTGCACAAATAAATACAGAAACATGAACTGCTCTGAGGGATCTCCTCACTCAGCTGGGTTGTGGAGAAGTGTGTATGAATCATGTATGTATAGCGATAAGCTTTAAAGTGTGCTGAAAAGTCATTTGGTCACGCCAGCTAATCTCTTCACTTAAGGCCGGATGAAGTGTCATGGACAAACCCATAGCCTTCAGTGACACTGGAATTCTGCTGAGGCAAAAAAAAACTGGCCTGATAATCCTCTTCAATTGTGTGACGGATCTAAACCATCTCTAGTGTTTCACATATCAGGCCGAGCCACAGGTTACAGCCTATACTGGTATGAACTTTGGTATACAATGCATTTATTTAAAGCAAGACTAAAGAATGAATACATATAAATTAATATAAAAAAGCAGTGCATAGAATGGGCAGTTTTTCAGGTGTAACCTAAAAGTGTATGGAAACCATAAAATATCTCATAAATATCTAATAAATTTCCCCTGCTAGGATTCTAACATTAGACGCAGCAAGCACTAACTTGGCACTAACTACTTTCTCCATGTTAAATGAAATCATATACTTTTTTTAATTTTACATTTTTTTAATAATTAAATAATATACTATATATTATCATTTAAACACATATCTGTGATATTTCAGTATCATTGAGGTACTATTATAGTCTTTATTAATAGTTTGAATTTGTTTGATTTTGTATTTTCTGTTTTCGTTTTAATTTTAGTTAAAGTTTCCGTATTTCTGTTCTTGTCATTTTTATTAGTTGTCATTTTAACATACCTTTTATTAATTCTTATTCTGGTTTTTGTTATTTTAGTACATCAAGGTAACTAAATGAAAACCAAGAAATGTTTTTTTTGGAAACTAGCTGAAATAAAATAAGTTGAATAGTTTTATTTTATTTTATTTATTTTTTCAGTTAACATTTATTTTGTCAAGTACCAAATATGTTTTTTTATGGTTTTAGTTTTAGTTAACTATAATAAACGTTATGTGATTTATATTATAAAAACAGTTTTTACAAATTATAACAAGTAAATACACACATAATATAATGAAATAATATTTTTCACATTATACTTTAAATATATATAATTTACATAATAAATTAAAATATAAGTAACTGACCTGGCATTAAAATCATAGTATTGAAAAGTCAAAAGCTCAACCTTCTCCAGCCAAAACATGTACTTTTTTAAATAATAATAATTAAAAATACATACTACATATTATAATTTAAATATAAACAATTTATATTATAAAAATAGTTTTTACAAATTAAAAAAACTAAATACACATACTTTTTTACATTATACTATATATATTTAATTTACATTATACATAAAAAATAATAATTAAAACAGCAACTAAATGCATGCTTAGTTAAGCTAAAAAAATCTACAACTTTTCTAACAGTGATTATTTCAGCTTCAATAATTCTGTAAATGATGAAGAGTGTGGTGTCATTAGTGAAAACAAAGTGTATTTCCACTGAAGACAAAAGCAGCACTTTCACAGCTGAAGATATTGGATGCGAGGGAGCAAATGGGTTTCCATGTGGTCATAAGAATGACTAAGAAATATTATTTGTACATCATGATGCAGACACACACACACACTGCACAGCTGCAATAAAAAGAGTCTTTGGCTATGAAACTAATAATAACTTCACATTTCAGGTCTAACGTATTTGGGGATTACGTTCAACACCTACAGAGAGAAAAATATATATTTCAGCAGTACACAGAGTCCATTTAAAAAGCATGCATGATGACAGATTTAAAGCATTTGATTAGTACTTAACAAATGCATTTGCATTTTATTTTTAGCTTGATTAGTCTGGAAAACATTAATACACAGAAATAAATTAAAAGAAGAATAAGTCTTTTTTTTGACTAACTTCCAATAAAAATGGTCTCTCCCCTAACCAAACACTGCACACAGTTTGTCCAACTCCATGATATTAAAACTCTCAGCTGCTTTGGATCTATTGTTCCACAGGTTGACCTCGCCTGCTCTTGAACCTTGAGAACGCCCATGAAAATCTAGATGATCAGCATTGCTGAAGTTTGGACATGTTTTAAAATCAAAGCCAATGTGTTTTTGTCAGACTTGTCAAACACAGAGCACCCAAAGTATCTGCTGTGCATGCAGTCTCATAAATCCTTGAATTCAAATTTTATTAGTGATTTTAAAATGAACTCCCTACGTCTACATTCATACATTTGGTCAATGTTAGCAGATAACGAAACCTCATTTTAAGCTTTTAACCTATTGTTACCCATTAAGTCTTTGTTCGGACCACCAAACAAATCAAAAGCCAAGCGTGAAGACGGCCAGGAGGAAAAAAGCTCTGTGAACCAAGAGGCCACGTTTCTTTCATTGGCTTCTCTTGGCTGTTTGAGAGAGCTGCTTTAAATCCACGTCATTGGAGACACTGCTTTTACAAGGTCATTTGAGAGTACAAGCTTAGAAAATGAACAGGACCTTCTGTTACGGGGGTCTCACATAATGAGCTGTTGGACTATAAAAAAATCACAAAGAAATCTCCACAACATCAAACCGAACGTTTAAAATGATCCGAAGCGCAAATGCTAATTCTAGAGATCACATGAAGCTGCCAATGAGGCCACTGCAATATTTGAAAATGAAGGCCAAAAATATTTCAAAAAAGCTCATTTATTTAACGTCTCTTTTTGAAGTCTATTTTTATTTCTTGTAAATTTTAAATATGTAAATTTATATATGTGCATTTATAAAATTCATATTTACATTCGCAAATTCATATACGTAAACAATATATATGGCTGAATCTTATGGAAGCTGGTTTCCACCATGGGATAAAAAATAGAAAAGGTCATTTTTACTTTTTTATCTCACAATTCAGACTTTTTTTCTCACAGTTCTGAGTTTATGTCTCACAATTCTCACAACTGTGAGAAAAAAGTGAGAGATAAATATACAGAACTGAAGAAAAAATATATATAATCTCTGAATTGCAAGATTTCTCACAATTCTGATTTTATATCTTGTATAAATTATTTAATTCATTCATTCATTAATAAACTTAAATGACTTAGTTTCCACCATGGGATAAAAAATAGAAAAGGTCATTTCTACTTTTTTTATCTCACAATTCAGACTTTTTTTCTCACAGTTCTGAGTTTATGTCTCACAATTCTGAGAGTGAGAGATAAATATACAGAACTGAAGAAAAAATATATATAATCTCTGAATTGCAAGATTTCTCACAATTCTGGTTTTATATCTTGTATAAATTATTTAATTCATTCATTCATTAATAAACTTGAATGACTTTGAATCTTCCGTGGAACACAAAAGGAATATGTCAAACAAACAAACAAACAAAAGCTCATACAATGAAAGTCAATGGGGTCCAGTGTTGTTCGGACCCCAAATTTCTTCAAAAGTATCTTTGTTTGTGTTCTGCATGAAAAAAAGCAAAAGAAATACAGGCTTAGAACAACATGAGGATGAATGCATTTTGACAGAATGTTAATTTTTTCACAATTTTAAAATCAGCATTTTACTCAGCATTTTGTAGCATGCTTTTTAAGTCAAAAATAAAATCAAAAATAAATACCCATGCATGATTTTGAACAATCAATTTGCTGTATGTTTAAGCTAAACTCACAAAGTCTTAATTATTAAATTTAAGTCATAATGTGCAAATAGGCTATTTTACAATATTCTTCAGTATTCCATCACAAGGAAACTGAAAATACTTATTTGGTAAGTGAAAATGGCAAAAACACCACATCGACCTCACCCAGTGCATTAGTTAGTGGGCAAAAATGGGGATTTTCCAGGGTTACTGCAGATTTAAGTTGCTATGGTGCAAAGGTATAACGTACACCAAAATAAGGGTTGTGCCTAATGTGTGTGAAACTTTAGAGACACTAGAGCAAGGTACAGAGAACTGTAACTGGTGAGATCACAGCCACTCCCTGATTATCAACACAGAAATAGCCTCAGATTATGACATTGTGCAGCCATCATCATTTGCCCAGGCTGAGTTTGAAGTAAATGGCACCTGTTGTTGACAACCAAATTTACTGTTGTGATTGAGAAGGAAGTAAAAGGAAATAGATGATATATTGAATGTTAAAATGGAAATAGTGAGTCAGCCTAAAGCTGAAGACCCCAGGATGAAAGACATTTCCATTAAATAGTGACGTAACCATTACATAGAATCATGTGACATTCTCTTCCCCCTTTTTAGTGAACAGAGAAGGAATCATCCAATGCAAAATTACTGTTTATCCTTGTTTCTATGGACTCCCATGTGAAAAAGAAGTGTGTTTAATTGTTTCAAATGTGCACTTGTAGTGTACGAATCTTAAAAGCATATCTAAAAAAAACTGTACTTGCAGAGAATTTAATATTAAAAGGCCACTCTTGTGCATTTAAAGAGAGTAGACTTTCATGAATGTGTTTCTCAATACACTATATTCCACTTTAAAAAAGTGAACTTATAATAACATTTTACTCAGCATTTTGTAGCATGCTTTTTAAGTCAAAAATAAAATCAAAAATAAATACCCATGCATGATTTTGAACAATCAATTTGCTGTATGTTTAAGCTAAACTCACAAAGTCTTAATTATTAAATTTAAGTCATAATGTGCAAATAGGCTATTTTACAATATTCTTCAGTATTCCATCACAAGGAAACTGAAAATACTTATTTGGTAAGTGAAAATGGCAAAAACACCACATCGACCTCACCCAGTGCATTAGTTAGTGGGCAAAAATGGGGATTTTCCAGGGTTACTGCAGATTTAAGTTGCTATGGTGCAAAGGTATAACGTACACCAAAATAAGGGTTGTGCCTAATGTGTGTGAAACTTTAGAGACACTAGAGCAAGGTACAGAGAACTGTAACTGGTGAGATCACAGCCACTCCCTGATTATCAACACAGAAATAGCCTCAGATTATGACATTGTGCAGCCATCATCATTTGCCCAGGCTGAGTTTGAAGTAAATGGCACCTGTTGTTGACAACCAAATTTACTGTTGTGATTGAGAAGGAAGT